CCCCCCCCCCCCCAAACTACGGGCCTGTGAACAGACATTCTCTACGTGTATGCCTCGTTTATTCTGATGACATGATTACATGCTAATGGGTCAAACATGTGTAGTTTTGTTTTTTTTCGGAGTGTCGCCTCTGTACATTTATATTTTTCTTGAAAGTTTTTCTTGCAATTTTTTTTCAACAAATCTTCTATTTTTTCAACAAATTTCAAATCAGTTTCTAGTAATGATATCTATTTGTGACGAAGTGAGCACCAGGATACATGGGATCGTCTGCGATAATGCTAGTTTGGTGTTCCTTGGATTTCGATAGACGTGGTCTCCGTATTAGCGACTGGAGAAAACTTTATTTTCCGACCTAGATGTCAGTTTGCCATATAAGTAATAAGTGGGATGAAATAAATTATCTCGTTAATTGATGACGAGGAAAGAAATTGCATTCTATATACATGTATACGCGTGTGTTCGCAAAACACTGTCTAAAAACTGCTACGGAATGACTGAAAAGCTATTGATTACTAGATTACTAGTTCAAAAATCAGATTAATGTAGGATACTGAAAATTACAATTTGAATCATCGTAATTGTTGCGTGTTGACGGTCATCCTACCACGTGTGTACACCGCCCATGACCTAGTGCACATATACAGACTATACTTCTGTTTTATGTCCAATATTTTCTACCAGCCGGTACCAGTATGTCCATCCCACTACTCATGATTACTGGGTTTCCCGTGCTACCTGTATCATATATTGTTTACAAATTGTTTATTATTTTGGAACCATTCACATAAAAAACAGGCGAGATTCTAGGGCACTCAGAATCAATTTTATTTCAAATCAACAATTGTAGCTGACGCATCTAATACACATACAACATAGAAAATACACTAAAATTGAACAACGATCGCTTCGCCAGCGCTAACTGTTAATTGCTTGAAATTAACTATGGTCCCCTCTCTTTCTGTGTCTGTTGTGAACACTAGTGTGCCTTCAGTTGGTAATCGTGTGTCCAGCGCATTGTAATCTGCGGTGATAGTTTCGTCTCCAACGTTGAGGGAGACAAAATAAGGTGCCCACTCTTCGTATTGCCTAATAAAGGAGTATATGTCTTCGGTTACGAGGACACTACTAATATCTCCTGCTAACAGCGACACTTCCCATCGTCGCAAATTTGATATTTGTTTGAAGAGGGCCATAGTAGACGTCTCCATGCCAAGTTGAGCCTGCAATATAAAATTATCTTAGTAAGAATGAAGCAAGGCTTTTTCGGTCAATGTGATATGAACTGGTTACAAAGAAAGTTATTCAACCATCATCAAAGTATGGATGACGTCATCGACCACTTGGGTTCAACTCCGCCGCTTACAACTTTTTTCTGTGTAACGCATTCGACACATTAAATATAAGTAGTTCAACATACCGCCACATTAATCTGCTTGTAGTTCGAGTGCACCGGTACGATAAGTTCAGAGGAATTCGAAAATCCACCATTGGTGCTATCATCCCATTGCATTGGACTCAAATTGGCTTCTACATTCGATTGCACTGGTTTCACGTACTTCGCTTGTACTGGTATCTGTTAATACAATCATTCTTTATTTATTTTCACTGATTGATACTAGCATCATCGCAACGTATCGTTTCCATTAGTGATAACAGCGTATTTCATTAGGATTTCATACGACTTAACAATAACTGAACTCGTAATTGTGCTAATTTATCATATTTATCTTATCGCACCACTCACCTTCGTGACCTTTGAACTTACTGGTGCCACGTCATCGGCTGGGGTCGTCGTCACCTGGATATCGCGATCAGTACTCGACTGCACTGGACCGGCGTTAGATACTGTAGTTGACGGGACCTATCATTAATAGCAATACAGATTGTTCACATAAACACAGTCACAGTTGCCAGGTGTCATTCATTTTGACTTTAAAGAATGACAAGATTGGTAAAAAATGTAACTAATGTAGTTATTTGTCAGGAAACATTCCCTGTAATATATTATTTGTACAACCTATGCATACATACATATCTGTATCAGGTGGTTATATTCACAAAATACGCAGAAATGATTGTTTTACCACACACACAAAAAAACAGTAAACTGTATAAACTCCAAGGCATGCTGAAAATTTATACAGATTCTGTTGTTATTCATTATTAGTACATCTTTTTTTCAAAACTAAAATCGCCCCCATCAAACTTCTAAATTCACAAATAACGCAAAAATTAATATATATAGAAAGCACTTTCACCTTTCTGTTAATGTATTTATAGTTTTTGAGATGCGATTGTTTCTGACGATTTGACCCTTGTGTAGACATGAGTTGTTTATGTTTGTACTAATTAGTAAAACATGAATATATCCCTATCTTATAGCTATGTTAAATTTCGTTTTGTTGCGAAAATGAACTGTTATGGGGATTAAAGTGGCTGGATAACAGTAAGTGATCTGTCTTCTGTCAATCTTTAAATGATGGCACACACTGTTTTATAAGTACGATGTACGTCGTAATGCATATCTGTAAAGGCACTGACGAAGGCTGTACTAATTGTAGTCAGTATTTGCTTTGTCTCATCCGCGTGATAATTATTCCAAAGAGGGTACTCCCTGGATTGCATTCGTGCGTATTCGTTATAATTCCCCTTTAAGGTCATTATACACGAATCAACAAGCTTCAACCACAGTCTGTCAACATGCAACATGGATCAGCTTTTGTTGAGAACTAATGTTGTCACGGTTAAGTAACCGGTGTAACATGTTCTTTAGCGTAGCGGTGGAGTGGGACATGGGACTAGAACCGGGTTGTTGACAATACAAATGCAATATTGTCGTTTACTACGTAAACATGCTCTGTTGATATGCCCCCCCCCACTTTAGTAATTGAGTTTATACTTACAGTGTTATTTCCTTGCCCCTTACTGTCATCATCGCTGACATCTGCTTCTCTTTTTCTCATACTCCCATTTCTGGCTACTTGGTTATCTAATTCCAATTTTAATACGTCGTTGTCGTCATCGAGACTTTCCATACCTATCTCTTCTCCATAATAATTAATGGGCACTCCGGGCAATAAAAACACCAATGCATTTAGAGTATTCACATACTGGTTACCATAGCGACTAGCAACCCTTTTGTTGTTGAGATCTCCAATCTGCAAAAACAAATATATTTGTTAATAGTACCTTACCTTTTTCTTTAAAAATAGCGTTTTTTTTTTACGAGAGTTCTTGCTTTCAAAAGTGAGTGAAATATAGATACTACACAAGGTTGATGCCACTAAATAGTTTGAAATAATAAACAACGAAATTATTAAATTCTCGTTCAATTATACGACATAACTAACGACATATTCATTCATTGTGTACCTCTCCTGATAATATCGATTTGAATTCGAGTTTATAAAATATTTTTTTTGGACCTGTGCAGGTACAAGACTTGTACATGAATGGTCAATGTGGTGTGGATGCGCCCTCTATCAACAATTGCAAAACCATTGTTGTCGAAGCGTAATATGAGATCGCCACACAGACAAGCAAGACCATGAGTAACACCAATGCCGTGACCTATTCAGTTACGAAATATCTAGGATCAGCAAAAATGTACATACCACCCAGGTATACCACCTATCGTTGTAGCCAGTATTATTTTTAGCAATAAGCCATTCTTTTACGAGTGTTTCAATATTGAAGCCAGTAAGGTCTTCTTCAAGGTGGTCCAATAGTTGGAAGTTATACAGTGTATCGGCACCATTTTCCATATCGTCGTTGTAATAACCCATTGTGGCCTCCAGACTGCCACGTGGTTCCACTGACATTGTTCTGTGAAATACAATATATATATATATATATATATAAATTCCGAATACATCAAAAATAACCCACATTAACAATAAAAGAAAAAAAATCAAACAAGAAGCTCAAATTTCTAAACACAGAGAAACTGGTTAAAAAAATCTACTCCATAACATATAATTCTATACTCTCGATCAAGTCGCTATGGGGACTGACAACCGCAGTATGTCCATGTCGTCGTATCCCCGGGAAATCAATAAACAAGATATATACGCTAACAAGAAAATGTTGTTATTACATACCTTATCTTCCCAAGAGTGTTAAACCCTCGGACAGTTTTCTTCCACTCAGCGATCAATTTGTAGTTTTCTGGCTGGTTTAAAGTCTTGGAGTGTATTAGTTGGTTATACTATACAGTTGGTCATAACAAATAATATGTAATAAAAATACCAAATTTGATAATTAGTCCAAAATAATGCTATGCAAATGCATCATTCAACCCCCCTCCAAAAAAAATTTATCTGTATGTGTTCAGCTGGCAAAATTGAATCAGTTGACCCAGCTTGTAACATTGGAGCAGTTGACTCAACTTGCAACATTGAAACATTTGACCAAGCTTGCAACATTGGAACAGTTGACCCAGCTTGTAACATTGGAGCAGCTGACTCAACTTGCAACATAGAAACATTTGACCCAGATTGCAACATTTGAACAGATGACTCAACTTGCAACATTGAAACATTTGACCAAGCTTGCAACATTGGAACAGTTGACCCAGCTTGTAACATTGGAGCAGCTGACTCAACTTGCAACATAGAAACATTTAACCAAGCCTGCAACATTGGAACAGTTGACTCAACTTGCAACATTGGAACAGTTGACCCAGCTTGCAACATAGGAATAGTTGACCAAGCTTGCAACATCGGAACAGTTGACCCAGCTTGTAACATTGGAGCAGTTGACTCAGGTTGCAACATTGGAACAGTTGACCCAGATTGCAACATTGGAACAGTTGACCCAGCTTGCAACATTGGAACAGTTGACTCGGCTTGCAACATAGTTGACCAAGCTTGCAACATCGAAACAGTTGACCCAGCTTGCAACATTGGAACAGTTGGACCAGCTTGCAACATTGGAGCAGTTGACCCAGCTTGTAACATTGGAGCAGTTGACTCAGCTTGCAACATAGGGATAGTTGACCAAGCTTGCAACATAGGAATAGTTGACCAAGCTTGCAACATTTGAACAGTTGACCCAGATTGCAACATTTGAACAGTTGGACCAGCTTGCAACATTGGAACAGTTGACCCAGCTTGCAACATTGGAACAGTTGACTCGGCTTGCAACATAGTTGACCAAGCTTGCAACATCGGAACAGTTGACCCAGCTTGTAACATTGGAGCAGTTGGACCAGCTTGCAACATAGGGATAGTTGACCAAGCTTGCAACATAGAAATAGTTGACCAAGCTTGCAACATCGAAACAGTTGACCCAGCTTGCAACATTGGAACAGTTGGACCAGCTTGCAACATTGGAACAGTTGACTCAGCTTGCAACATAGGGATAGTTGACCAAGCTTGCAACATAGGAATAGTTGACCAAGCTTGCAACATCGAAACAGTTGACCCAGCTTGTTACATTGGAGCAGTTGACTCAGCTTGCAACATTGGAACAGTTGACCCAGCTTGCAACATTAGAACAGTTGACCAAGCTTGCAACATTAGACGAGTTGACTCAGCTTGCAACATAGGATTAGTTCACCCAGCATGCAACATTGGAACAGTTGACTCAGCCTGCAACATAGGAACAGTTGACCAAGCTTGCAACATTGGAACAGTTGACCCAGCTTGCAACATTGGAACTGTTGACTCAGCTTGCAACATTGGAACAGTTGACCCAGCTGGCAACATTGGAACAGTTGACCCAGCTTGCAACATTGGAAAAGTTGACTCAGCTTGCAACATTGGAACAGTTGACCTAGCTTGCAACATTGGAAAAGTTGACTCAGCTGGCAACAGTTTACCAAATTTTAAGTGCAGTTGAATCCAAACAGACAATCAACGACCACAGAGCGCCATGGCGTCATTTTAAAATAACAATGTTACTCCATCGCACAAAAGAAATTCTTCGTCTTGGTTTGAAAATTATAAAAATGAAGAGAATGTGTGTCTTATTGTGGAAAACATTCAGTATTCACATCGCGACTAATAATGGAAAAGCATTTTACCGGTTCGGTTTCACCATCATACTCGAAGTTTACGGGTTCATTCAGACGTTCTTCAGCCTCGTACAGATACGAAACGTCCCTGACCATGAAACCATCAACACCGATCTTCAACCAATGGGTCAGAATATTCTGTTCAACAAATAGAAGACGATTACTCCGTGCAACCATGTAGTAGCATAGAGAACATTTCAGTCAATGTTCAATATAAGTGCGAACCTTGTTTAAGTTCGACGCTTGTCGCGTCGCCTGGAAACATTATTTGTTCTTATAAAAAAAAGGAAACTGCGTTATCAGAAAACAATTGTAAAGGTAAATAAATATATTGTAAGTTGGTGGGTATACCTGCATTGCTTCTCTGACTTCTTCATTTCTGAAATTCAGATCGGGTTGTTTATCTGTATATGTATGGTAGTACCATTGATCCCTTAGGTGTTCATAGGTCCACGCTGAGTCACCGTGTACGTTTAACTTCAAGTAGATGTACACAGCGTGTAATGAAATACATTATAGTATATATTAATTTTAAATTCCATATTGCGACCATTAGTTTTATAAATAGTATGGTACTTTGTATGTCACTGCATTATTCTAAATTTAGCCATATGTATACACGATATGCAGTATTTACATTGTAAATGTCTCACCAGCATACCCGTATAACTCACATGACATGACGCTTACCCAGTTATTTGGTGGATCTGTTTTATTGCCGTCAGCCCACACGTAAAAGTCGCTGAATTCGTTTTCTTTGTCGTTTCTACTCTCTAAAAACCATGGGTGGACGTCACTTGAATGATTTGGAATAAAATCCAAGATAATTTTGATGCCTTGACGGGATGTAAAGAAATATGATATTTAAATATATAAACATAAATTTAAATGGGGACTGTGCTCTATTCATTAAAAAGGGGGTTGTAATTGAAATGCCTGAACAGCTAAAGTCACAGATCACCCCTCCTCACATGGGAAGGGAGGGACAGTGGAACGCGCAATACACTAAGTGTCAGAATGAACTTTGACAGATTTTGAAAGATCCAGTCACCAGTTACACACAATACTTTGAGGTATTTTGCTACCCAAAAATTGATCAAAAATGCGTGTTTTGAATATTTACAATAAGTTTCTATGGCAGAAACATTCCGTCATATCTTAAAGTTGTGTTCAGTGACCTATGTGGTGTTATGAGGGATACATATGACTGTCACGAAAAATTGAAGAATTCTGAATATTAGTATACGATATCCGAGCCCATGGTATAATGTGTCGCTAGTTTCAAGTTCTTGATAGGAATGTTATCGAATTTTGCCTTGTATATATGTTTCTACTAAACTGGGCGTATGCAAACCAATGGATTTAGAAATGTTATTGTATGTATTTGATTTATTTGATGTATACTAACTCAGGTACCGCTCGATATTTATACAAACCTTTTGCGTTTGCATTATCCACCAGTTTGGTAAAATCGTCAATAGTTCCAAGGTTTCGGTCGATGTCTTTGAAATCAGTGATACCAGAGATCAACCCACTATCATCGGATTGGAAGATATTGTTTAGCAGTAAGGAGTGTGTGCTGATATTCACCAAATGGTCCAGTCGCGAGTTGATACCTAGAAGTCAAAACAACAGCGTTGCAATTCAACACTAGTGTAGTATCCGGAAGGGCATGTGTGTTAATTTGTTCTGAAAATGATGTCAGACCATCTCACCTATTCAAGAAAGTTGAGCCTTCGACAAAAGCACCAGGACACAGTTGTATACTGTAAAACATGTCTTTTTCGCGAGCATGTCTTTTTCGCGAATTTAGCGAGAGAACTGATTCGCTAATTCAGATGGCCGCCAAACAACAATAACAAGAGAGATTCGCTAAATCAACATTTCGCTATTACGTCATTTTACCACAATTCGCTAAAATTGCATGTCGCTTTTTCAACATGTTTTTCAGTATTAAGAAGACGTCAAATATGAAAATAATTTTCCCATTTGACCACTATTTTTTCAGCTGTAGTAACCTACTACATGCATTTCATATTTGATCGATTTATTGATTTAAAACACAAAGACCCGTATCGCTATGTATTGCCAAACATACTCGTATAAAACAACGTTCAAAGTTCAAAAGTCTGGTCACGTGATACCACACGGTGTCTGACACTTGAATGAGGTTCACAGTTTGTAGCAACACGCTTATCAAACAATCAACTACCACAAATCCTCAAAACCCGATATGACTTGAACTCGACCAAGTTTTCATGTCGTGAAAAATGTAATTCACATAGTTGCTCTCAATACTGAATTTAAAAAAACATTAATTCTGCTCAACGTGGCCATAATACGGTAATTTATGAGAACAAATATTTCAAAAGAATCTAATTAATAATTGACGTATATTATGTGCAAATAGCGGGAACTAGTGTTTGCTTTTCTGGCACCTATGTCCAGCCTACATATATATATATATATATATATATATATATATATATATATATATATATATATATATATATATATACACGCATGCGTATAAATGACGAAAAAAAATACATACCCAACAAATCGCCGATTCCGTCGCCGTCTGAGTCTTGAAATGAACGCGGGTAAACTTGATGAACATTGTTTTTATGGAACCATTCTGCTGGTGGACACCGGGGGGTTGATACAATGATGTATATAGCCACTCCTAGCATAGTGATCAGACATATCCAGAATAAAACCGATAAAAACGTGCGAAACGCGTTCCATGCCTTGGTATCTCCAACTCGAAGCAATTCTTCTTTGGAGAGACTACCTCCAGGATGTTCGTCCTCCAGAGTCTTTCCATACTCCCAGCGTCTCTCGTATTCGCCTTTCTCGGGATCACCTGTAGAATTCATGGCTGTCAACTCTTCCACATGCACTGACTCTTTTTTAGGTTGAGAGTTCCCCATGTTGGCAATATATATGATGGGAAAATAGGAACTTTTAGATGCGTGTCTGTACAACCCTCCAAGCTGAATCTATACTGTTGTAAACTGCATGATGCAATTAACGAATTTGCGTGTTGGACTAAACCATTATGCTATATAGGTAATGTGGCCAACATGTTGTAGCATGTGAGCTTTTAATAAACTTCACATTATCCATCGTTTGTTGTAAACATATAAACACATCTGTATCAATATATATATATATATATATATATACATGTGTATATATATATAGCAATATACCAATTAATTACGGTGTTTCACGACGATGTTAAATCTCAACGGTATATCACGATCCTCCACTTCACCCCGATGACCACATAGGATACTCCAAGGTTCATTTACACAGGTGTTATTTGTACTGATAAAACATACTGATATACTAGTATATAGAAAACCTTGGCACTTGGTGGCAGTGGTAGACGAATATTAAAATTGCTATGAAAAACAAACATGGTATTATATTTATGTGTTTATATGCTAAAATCGATATGATCGATATTTAAACTGAAAAGGCGTCTATAAATTACACCTGACCTAGTTTAACCACCGTTACTAATAATCTCTTTATTAACCGTGGTTTATCAGAGAACGTAAAAAGGGCGCTTTCAATAAACTTATAACTATTACAAACTGGTCCGAATCAGGATACAAACTATTATGCGTATAACCACAGTCCCTCTATCCTCTACAGAAGGACTGTGGTTTAACCAACTCCGTGATCGAGGTCAAAGATCAACACACATAAAACATAATGTAGTGTAACTGCGATTTCTCTTGGATAATTCACTGAAATTTGGCTCATACGGTAAGCGATGAAGCAATAACTACGACAATATCTTATACGAGCATTTCATACGTAAATTATTTTTTTCAATAAATTCATTTTTTTCTCGTGAAATACTGCAGTCATCAAGATAAGATTTTCTCTATTCTTTGAAATGTCGTATATACGTAGTTATAATTATATATTGGTAAAATATAATTATATAAACAAATAATTATTGTCCACACAAACAATGTTCATGTTGCTAATGATAGCTGTGCTCTATAGTATCTGTTACTCCAACGTTTTCGTTATTTTACTTTCTAAAGATTACATGGGATTTGACATTATGCAGTATGTCACAAACTTCTAAAAGCCAAGAATACCTCATCTTTTTATATAAAGAAGACAAACATACTATTTTCACAGCTTTGGGAAGGGGGAAACTATGAACCCTGGGCTTAGGGTAGTTAACTAAATGTGAATTTACAGCATGTGAACATGCTGCTCAATTATTTTGCTCAACCAACTTTCAATATGGTGCTTTATTTTAAAGATAAACAGAGTTGTATATACATTTTTTTTTTAAATATTGATAATCATTTTATCCATATTGTTTTGTTGCATACACATGGAAACTGTAGATGTACGAAATGTACACGTTTGAGGCAGCTATAAGTTCACAAACACTTACCCTTAAACACTGTTTGACGTAAAGACCATCTTTGATGTTTTTTTATTAAAAAATTTATCAATCTGATTGCAAAACGAATCATCGGACATCTTGGATTGTATCAGTAAGCGGCACATTCAAAGAATGAACAGATTTGATTCACAGGGTTCTGAAATAAGACTCCAGATGGCTGAAGACTGAATTACAAGTCACTGTTTCGAACTTCATTCAAATTGGAACTAATAATTCTACAAAATCTTACCTTTACTTTTTCAGCAGCAAATATAAGTGAATTTGTAGGTCAACAAAAACAAACATTCCAGACCAGACAATCACACACAGAAAGATATGATTTAATACTTTATTTTAATACTAGCAGTCAAAGTATACAGCAATTTTATATTAAAACAAATGATTCAACATTCATGGTGTTTCCCATTACAGAAGTCTGTCTAATCATTGAAAACTACACGAAGCATTGTGTTCATGGCTGGACCCATGATTTAAACACAAATCAACAAATTATAAGAGGTACACCCATATCGAGAGAAATCAAGTGCATACCGTTCTTCCCAATTCATAAGGTAATGAGACTGCAACATGCATTATGTACATCAGCTACAAGCAACAATCAAATTACTGTACTTGTTTTAGTAGAAGCACACTTGTATTACAGTATATAATTGAACATTAAAATATGGTTTATTTTGACCACAGACACACTTATCGTTTACATAAGCACATACACAACTAATAAAGAAAACAGAAGTGTTTGCTGCTGCTTGTAACATCAAATTATTAAAATGACAGAATGGAGGTAAACTTTTCTTATACTAAGTATGTGACCATCACATATGTTAATTGAGAACTTAAACCATGAATCCAGATCATAACACACATTACTACTTTTCAAACTTGACTATAATTGCCTCATAAGGCGCTAGCTGGATGCTATCAAAGTCAACAGTCTCATCTGGCTTGACTGAGCTATGGGTGGAGTACTGTAATTTTCCCTGTTTTGGCAGACCTTTGCCGGCACTGTGAAAAGCAGGAACATTTCCAATATTACCAAGATTAAGTGCCACAAAGTAACTTGGCCAGCGATTGAATGTACGAGAAAAGGAATAGATGTCATCAGATACCAAGACTTCATTTAACTGGCCACCAATCAAAGAGGGTTCTCTTCTTATATTTTGTAGTGCCTTGAACTTGCTCACAATAGACATTGAGTCATTGAGTTCCTTCTATAAAGTACAATAATGAAGAAACAGTTAAGAACAGTAATAGATTAATTTTATTATAAACATATACACAAACTTTCTTAAGTGACTTACTCCAACAATTAACTAGTTATACCACTCTCCTTCATGCGACCTATTGTTTTAGCTGTGTTTAATTCTGTAACTCTACATTTCATGTATGTGGATTTGTAATCAGCCACAGTTTGTTTTATAAGCTTATTAGTAATGACACAGTTGCAGTTCATGCACACTTTAGCATCTGGCATGGCCAAGTGTCAGTTGGGAATTTGGAGTTTTCTCAACTAATGAAAAAGTTGGCCTATAAACTCTAATGAGAATTTAATTGGAATAGCTTAAACAATTGAATACATTTGTAGTTACGTGGTATGGTACAACAATGCACTGAATAAATAAGTAGTGTGTGCATTTATTTGTGCTTTCAATTTAAAAAAAAATATAAGTGTGACCTTTAAACTTCAAACAGCATGGCTACTCATGTGATTAACTATACTAATAATCTTTACAGTGAAGAAAAAAACATTTTTCAGTTACAGAAGGTGTAATTTAGGGCATTTCCAGTTAACAATTGACAGCATTTGTTTGGCATTGAACTTGAGTGACTTACCGCAACATTAATGTCTTTGTAATCGTTGTTGATGGAATACCATGCTTTACTACCGTTAGTAAATCCAGAGAAATCCTCATCAGTCCATTGCATTGGTGACATAAAGTTATCACGAGAGATATAGTAGTTAATCTCCTAAAAAAAAAAAAATAGTAACTTGTAGTAGTCAAAGATCCCCCTAAAAATATAGATTTGAAGAGAGCTACGTGCTTAGATTTTAATTTAAACCATGATTTAAGTAAGTGCGGTAAACCTGTGTGAAAAACATGGTAGATTGTAGAGAAAGAAAGATATGAAAACTGTGCATCGTGGTAGTGACAGTAAAGATTACATTTGCACAAACAGTTGTGGGTATAATATTTTTAGCTAAAGTGCATGCATTTAAATTTTAATGTGTGTTAGGAATTTCAATAAAGAAAGATGAAGTAGTGCAAGTAAAATGGTAAGTTTAATTAGTAGATGAGGAGAATGATGCAGGTGTCGCAGCAGACCAGTTGAGAAGCTTACCATAGCGTCAGATGAATCACTAGTGTTGTAAGTGTTAGCGGTGTCATCGGTACTATTACTTTGATCATCGGTCTGAGAGAAAAATGCAGTTAAATTTTATTGTCATACAATTTGGAATTTTATTATTAATAATAATTATAAAAGCAAATAAAGACCTTTGAATATTTAGTCCAAAAATAAACCACATATTTCCTCAACGGTTTCTTTATGTCACAAACTCTTACTAATGAAAATTGTAAAACTGAACACTTACTGGAGTACCACCGACAGGAGTACCGCTATAAGCAGTTGAATCAACGTCAACATCATTCATACCAATTTCATCACCGTAATAACTGGTAGGCGAGCCTGGTAGGGTCATCAATAATGTATTCATTGCCTTGACTAAGTTACGACCACATCTTGTAGACACACGAGAACGTTCGGAATCTCCTAGCTGAAAATGAAGAGAGACTGGCTCTTTAACAAGACTCATTTAAAGTACAATACAATGGGTGTCAATGGATTTAATAATATTGTTTTTTATAGGCACACCTTCACTGTAGTCTATGCAAAAATAGGCAAATTTCACAACCCCAGTTATATACAGCCAGTCATTAAAAACAGTCGTGTATTCATGAATGCCATTAAATTTCATCAAATCACAAAAATGTCTAGCAGTGAAAATTTGAATGCAATGGCTGTACTAATTAAATAATTAATACCGTACTTATCCGGGTAAGAGCCCATGCCTGGGCAAACTCCCACCCTCCACTTTTTCTACAAAAAAACAAACTATTTTCTATTTGTTGACTGTGGTTGTATTAACAGTTGACTTTCTTGAAGTCTGTCGTGATACTCATAAAAATTGTTAATTGCGTAAAACAAGGGGTGAACGCAAAATAGCTGTAACAGCTTTCTGCCTTCAGGGCAGCGCGTTTTCAATCATAACAGTCAGCAAGTCTATAAAAATATATATTAAAGCAGAAACGGTAGTTCTTTTTTTGAAATATGTCGTGGCCCTAAAAATGGCCGGCCGTTTGGTTTGTGCTTCCTTAGAAACAATTCAGGCAAATCGTATAAGGAGAGCCGCTAAGCAAGTGTCGCACTCGTTCAGCTTTAGCGCCGTCGACAATGAAACCAATGTTACAATATTGTAGCAACCCGTACCTGGGAGAGTGGTTGAAATCACGCTTTGGCTTTATAAAATATTTTGTAGCAGCTTGCGAATCCGTAACTGGGGTCAGCAATTTTGCAATGTCATGCCAAAGACTGCCAACTTTTTTACCATCTTTCATCACCGTCATGAAAACTATACTTCTGTCGTTGGATAAAAAAAAAACTTCCTATATCAAGTCCACCACGATATCCATGTAGCGAGACATTCCAACCGCCGGAACTTGCTGAATGATAACTTCCACCGTGATTAATAAGAGTCGAGTCTGATAAAAAAGTATTGTCACGATTTGACTTTTATGATGAAATACTAGTAGTGATGTCATTCTTAGCCAATCAGTAAAGCAGATGCATAAAGATCAAAGATGATTGCTAGACTGTAAACAAAAGCATCGTGTGCCATCGCAGCAGAGCAAACCCATTCTTCTTGTCTCTATTATGATTAGACATGAATGAAAAGTGCCAAGCTGACAGACTGCGAAATCTGTGAATTAAAAGTGCTAAGTCCAAAATGTGTGGGAAGATATCGACGAACTTCAGGAATAAGTTGTAGGGATTTTGTTCGACGGTTACAGTGACGCCGACTTGGACTTTGAGGGTTTTGAGTTTGACGAAGATGGCAATGAATGTACAAATAAAGATCTGAGAAGTTTTTTCAAACAGCTATGAATTTGTAAATTATTATTGATCTTGTATGACGGTTGATTCGTAATTTGTAATTTGAGACCGGAAATCATTTTAGGCAGTTTAACCACTGACATTTTAATTCATTTTGAGTTCACGCGTATTGGGCGCGTTTGTCGGCGGGAAAATCCCAATTCAAATGATTCCTCACTGTCGATTTTTATTATTTCTGGTTTATTTGTCACATTATAAGCAATACATTACATTTGTTCTACTTCTAGTGTTGCATATTGTTCATTTATTTCCGTTGCATGTTTTCATTTGTTGTTCTATTCCCTGCCGCAGTTCGAACTGCGTGTTGTCAATTTTCGTGAATTTTCGTGTTTTTTTTGCCGGGGATCTCCTGGCAAACGCCCACCCCTTCTTTTTGGCAATTTTCCATGTTCAAGACCCTGGGCTTATACCTGGATAAATACGGTATTAAAAACAGTAATAATATCAACATCTGTGGACTAAATAAGGGATGCAAAAACTTACAGCCCAGTTGGTGATACGCTCAGGACCAATAGAGCCAACACTATTCAACCATGATGTGATGAGAGCACTCATGTACTTGCCAGTCTTGTTGGATGTTGAACACAGATCCATCAACTGGAAGTTGTATGGATAATCTGAAACTTTCTTCTTGTTTCCATAGTAATCAACTTGAGTGGCAATGGCAGATGATTGAGCACCAGCAACAAGTAATCTGTGGAAACATTAATTATTACATTTATAACAGGGTTCACCTAAATGTTGTGTTATGCACCACAAATTTATTTCTAAAATTTGATGCATGAAAAAAAGTCTCTTTATATTTCCAAACCTATTCTCACATTAGTTGCATGATTAAACACAATGAAACAAGTCTTTTGCGGTCAGTAATATTTACGAACATTTTTGTTCACTATTGACGATCCGCTCCGCTAGGATTGCCCTTAAAATCAATTTTGTGTGTCTGTGTGTGTGATTTTCAGTGTTTTCACGTATTAATTCTTCTGTGATTGTTTTGGCTTGGCCTATTTCCCTCAAACTTGGCAAGCAGGTCACACCATTGCCATAGTAACAGCCAAAAAACTGGATAGCTTCGTGCCAAATGTATCTCCTACAAATTTTCCACAGTATCTTTTTCTTACTGGTGTGGCTAAAGTGACTGAAGTATTTTTGTTTTGTCGATTGTTGTCAGTTGTTTGTTTTGTGTTCTTGGGATTTTGTAAAAAAAAAAAATCAACAACGATTAAATAGGTATGTTATTTCCATTTTGCAGTATATCGTAGACAGTACTTGTATGCTTTGTTATCCAGCATAAATATCAGATTGTTCAGAAGAATGATATTGTAAATTTCGTTCATTAATGTTGTAAGATAACGCTTTCTCCGGGCCTTCAGAGTCCCATGTTGACTATGTCCCGGTCCCTTTACTCACTTGTTGTCAGTGTCTGAGTGGTATATACAAAATACGACCAAGTAAACGTCAGAATATATAAAAACAGAAACCTAAAAATCAGTTGCCCATGCCAAGAGCCGCAAAACCAAAACAATCTGTTGCCGTCCACAGCAGCGATATGATTTTACACATCGAAATTGAGAATCGCATGTGTAGACATATTGTTAGAAATAGACACTGAATACATCTATCCCGGCCAGCAATCGAATCATCAATCTTCATGAGTGATGTAACTGGCATTTCCATCTATTTGCTTATATTCCCACTATCCTAAAACGCTCAAGTGAATGTTGTCAAATTCGCGAGTGTGCGTATTTTCGTACAGTGGCGTAAACATTGCTACAATCAAAGACGCGCTGAGCAAAAAGTCCATTCTGGGCTAGTACCATTGTCAAATTCTGGGGACTAGAGGACTATTTATGTAGAAGACATTACAATAAAGAACTATTAAAATTGTTCGATTTGCATATCAAAATCCTTTATTGGAACAGAGCATGTTCTGTATTCACCAAAAAACAAAGTTATGTTTCTAGACACACAACGGACTCGAAACAATAGAAACCGTACGATCCGAGCGACCTGCGTTCTTGAAAATCGAGTCTTATCGCCCTTGCGTTTCCGAGCCAAAAAAACGTTGAGGCCAAAAACGATCGATTTTCGCCCAATCTTCTATGAATTTTTCATAATTTCGCTAATTCAGTCCAACGGTTAGATAGGGTATTTATTAGAGACGCCCGGAGAACCAAAATTTGGGACGTGAATTACTCCGGCGCCTAAAAAACAGCAAAAATGTCCAAGGGGCGAGGGACTGCATTTCAAAAACATATTTTATATATAGGGTATATAAATAGTGCTCATAGATGGTCTCTGTCTAGTCTATTCACTTCCTGCATGAATAATTCTCCATTTACAATATACCATGATACAATAAATGTATTTGGAGAGGGGCTCCATAGATGGTCTCTGTCTAGTCTATTCACTTCCTGCATGAATAATTCTCCATTTACAATATACCATGATACAATAAATGTATTTGGAGAGGGGCTCTTACTTGTAATCATCACTGTCTGGACCACTGTACGTGTCCAATAATATTCTCCATTTTGCCAACAGATCAAAAGTCTCTGGCTGATCTCTTGTAATATTATGAATCAAGCTCTCATAAGGAATCTGTTAAGAAAAATAAATCATTGATTACATCAGCAAGAAGTTGCACCATGCTGCACCTCAAGGGCTATGTGTCACATCTGTGTTAGCTCATTGGTTCACAAAAAATGCAGGGTTCTCCCCAGGGCTTTTTAGCGCCGAGGTCCGCGGCGCTATACCTGTGAATCTCGGCGCTTCACTTGGGACCTCGGCGCTATGTGTTCCCACCTCGGCGCTTGATTTCATATTTGAGATGCCAATATCAGATGTGAAAAAGCTTTGTTCGCCACGCCGGTCGGCCCCGACCGTCACTCAAAATTAGTGACCACCACGGAAATGCTTCCGACGAGGACTATTGTCTGATTGTTGGTATAATTACGTACCGACCGACACGCATCCTGCCAGTCGTGGATTATAATTTATAAACAATAGACCTAGTCGCACGATACGTAGCGGCTAGTCAAATTTGTGGAATTAGCACCTCTTTGTTTGTAAGTAAATACTTTCTGCGATAGACACAGTCTTTAGATTGAAAGCTAAAATTATTTCAAAATCAATTCCACCTCGATATAACATGGTCAAATCGGAGTTCACGATCAGTTCACGCTACTCAAGAAAAAAACAACGTGTTTAATGCGTGATTTGGTAAAATACATTTGAACTGTTATCATTGCGAATCATGTAAAAACTCTTCTTTCAAGACCTAATTTACCTTTTAAAAATTGCAAATCACCTCTTTCGAAAGCTGTCATGCAGTTTTCAATTGAAATCGATGCCAACACATCGTGCTACAACATCGCTTTACTTCCGCAATGTAATTTTTATTCGAAAAACTTCGGGTTCTACCGGCATTACCATGCGGCATTTTGATTGGTTAATGGAATTCTTGATCCATCGGGTCAAAGGACACATGCTAATGTTTCACAAACATCATGGCGGGTCTGTTTTTTTTTACTGAAGCGATCAAGTGATCAAAAATAATCGCTCCCGATAAAAATAAGTCAGATTTTACTCACATTTCATATCGAAAAAAAAAAAAAGAAGTAAAATTTGTTGAGGAATT